CTAAAAATAAAACCAGCACTCAATTGCAGCTAATTGCTTATGGACTTTTTTGGCATTTTTTTCAGGAACTTTATTGAACTTCTGGATAAGTAATGTACACTTATGCAATTAATTTATGGAGTAGAATTGGTTGTTTTGATTTGGGAATGATGGAGGTTTCCACAGAAATGTGTTTAAACCTTTCTTTCCTTCATCTTATCTCAAGTTTCTGGATAGGTTTAATTATGTTAAATACCAAATGTTATTCTGCTAGCTGGTTATTAGTAGATCACCTCATTTTTTCAGTGCTTTCTTTTGTAAACCCTTAAATCTTTGCTGGTCTTTTGCATTAAATAGCTTTATTTCATAGTATGGTTCTTACTCAGTCTTTTGAGGTTTATCTCACTGGATGCATTGTGTAGTATCTCTGAATTTTAGTAGTTTTTCCTCATTCATACCCAATAGGGATGACCATCATCATGACAGATCATTACAGCTAACTTAGTTGTTTTAGAGGTTTATTACACAACCTAATATATTCTAGGAAAGCTACTTACTAGCATTTGACATGCAAATTTGTGAAGATTTTTTGCTAAGCCACTATCCATCATATTCATTTGAAAAGTCGTGGCAGTCTGGTGAAGTTTCCACTGACTGGAAAAAGGGAAGCATAACCACCATTTTTAAGAGTAAAAAGGAACTACAGGCCAGTCAGTCTCACCTCTGTGCCTGGCAAGATCATGGAACAGATCCTCCTGTAAATTATGCTAAGGCATGTGGGAAACAAGGAGATGATTGGTGACAGCCAACATGGCTTCACTAAGGGCAAATTGTGCCTGACAAATTTGGTGGCCTTCTACAACGAGGTTACTGCATTTCTGGATAAGAGAAGAGCAACTGATGTCGTCTACCTGGACTTGAGCAAAGCATTTGATACTGTCCTGCATGACATCCTTGTCTCTAACTTGGAGAGACGTGGATCTGATGGATGGACCACTCGGTGGATAGGGAATTGACTGGATGGTCACACTCAAAGAGTTGTGGTCAATGGCTCGATGTCCAACTGGAGACCAGTGACAAGTGGTGTTCCTCAGGGGTTGGTATTGGGACTGGTGCTGTTTGACGTCTTTGTTGGTGGCAGGGACAGTTGGATTGAGGGCACTCTCAGGAAGTTTGCTGACGATATGAAGCTATGTGGTACTGTCAGCGTGCTGGAGGGAAGGGACACCATCCAGAGGGACCGTGACAAGCTTCAGAGGCGACCCTCATGAAGTTCAACAAGGCCAAGTGCAAGGTCCTGCACATGGGCTGGGGCAATCCCAAGCCCAAATACAGGCTGGGGCGAGAATAGATTGAGATCAGCCATGAGGAGAAGGGGGTGCTGGTTGATGAGAAACTCAGCATGACCTGGCAGTGTGTGCTTGCAGCCCAGAAGGCCAACCACATCCTGGGCTGCAGGAAAGACACGGACCTGTTGGAGCGGGTCCAGTGGAGGCCACAAAGATGATCAGAGGGCTGGAGCACTCTCCTGTGAGGAAAGGCTGAGAGAGTTGGGGCTGTTCAGCCTGGAGAAGAGAAGGCTGTGGGGAGACTTTATTGCAGCCTACCAGTACCTGAAGGGGCCTACAAGAAAGCTAGAGTGACTTTTTATAAGGGCCTGGAGTGATAGGACAAGGGGTAATGGCTTCAAGCTGAAAGAGGGTAAATTTAGATTAGAGGTAAGAAAGAAATTCTTCACTATGAGGGAGGTGAGGCCCTGGCACAGATTGCCCAGAGAAGCTGTAGCTGCCACCTCCCTGGCAGTGTTCAAGGGCAGGTTGGATGGGGCTTTGAGCAACCTGGTCTAGTGGAAGGTGCCCCTGCTCATGGCAGGGGGTTTGGAACTGAATGATCCCTTCCAACCCAACCCATTCTATGATTCTGTGATTCTATGATGAAAGACAGGGTACTTAGGTATCCACCTTGTGTCATTCAGAACAATGGTTTCCCATGATTTTACCCATCCTCTAGGCTAAAAACTGCTTTCCTGGCACTTGATGAGAAGAAAGGGAGATGGGATGGGGAAGAGAGGTAAGGTAAAACTCAAGATTTTTTTTTTACTATTTATTTTTGTTCCTTAATAGTATCAAGTGGAAGAAATTGTTATGTCCTCAATGCATATTTATTACATTGAGACTCTTTTGAAGAGAGTAGTTCTTATAGCAGATCAAGTTGACTCTGAGTAAACCACACTTCTTCCTGTGTTCATCCATGCAGTCATTCACAAACTGCTGTACTATCAGGCCAGGATAGTAAGAAACTCAACAGCACTGAGCATATATTCAGGATAATGTTAATTAAGTTTTCTGTTGTTATAGATATTTCATTATTTTATGTAGTGTTAAATGATAGCAGAAAGAAAGGTGGCAAGAAAAAAAACAACAAACCCCTACCTTGTGTTGTTTTCACAAGTATTGCAAAAGTAACCAAGCAATAAATTTGTGTTTCAGTGGCTATGAGATTTTGCAAATGTATAAAAATTCCATAAGCCCCTTTGAAAATACCTCACATTGAGCCTAAATCTAAGATATGTGAAAATTGCAAGTCCAAGTTCAGTTCTAGTTTATATGCTGAGAATACACATCATTGGTATAAGTGAGTAAAGTGTGCTAAAAAAAAAAAGACAAATTGTGCTTAGAACTGTGTCAGCTTGGAATAGAAAGTCTCTGCAACTTGAATCTTAACAATACAGATCACGAATCTCAGATTTTACAAATACTATGTAAAAACTTCAGCCTTTCAGTAGAGCACTGTTGTTTCCAAGAACAACTTTTCAGTGACAGGTAGTTGAAACTGCCTTAACAATATGATGATTATACTTTTTTTTTAATGTTAACTAGTATTTCTAGTTTGCATTGTTCCTTAATAGAAAGTATCACAGTTAATGAGCAAAACTGCAACAAACCTTTCAGCAAATATAATCCAGGGACTAGTTTCAAGTATTTCTGATTATTTTGAGAATTAGTAGAAGTCACAGTGCCTCCTAATTGCTCGTTTCAAAATACTGTAGTTATTGAAAAGCAATAGTTCTAACAGTAAAGACTTGTGAGCTTTATAACTTACAGAACCATATTTCATTTTCTTCTTAAAAGTTACATCAGTATAGAAGCTGGACCAGTATTTAGAAATAATTTTTTTTTCCCACAGAGGGAGATAGCAGCAAAGTAACTCCAGTGGGCACACCTGGTTGTGTAAATCAATTTATACTTTATTACCATTCAAGTTCATTTTATAAAGAGAGCGCACGGCACTGTTGTTTCAAGAGAAGCTTGCAAATACTAGCAGTTAAGCTACCTGAAATTTTCTGCAGGTTTTTTTTTTTTAAAGAGTATTAATGTTTATTCAGATTTCTGTAATTAAAATATGTGCAACTTCATGTGTGTTCTCACTTATTTGACTTAGGTTTTACATGTACTGTTAAGTCAAAAGTTACTTGTAGATCCTATGTAATGTATTTGATTTGAAAACACTACAAATTTGCAGTGTTTAAGAATTAAGAACATGGGGATCATGTGAAAATATCTTCTCTATGAGTACATAATTAAGTTACTAACATTTTTGTGATCAGAGTCATTTTCTAGTTTTGACAACTGTTTTCTTACCTGATGACTGACATAAATATGAAACATCTCTCCTGCAGTAACAAGAAGCTGTTAGTATGACTGGACTATAGTGAAAATAGAAGTACAAGAATTACAGAAATAAATGGAGACAGATAGGGCAAGGTTATTGAGAGATTTTTAATCTTAAGTTTCACATACTAGGTTTTGAAATACAGAGCTCTTTTCACAGCATAGTAAGTAGAATCAACTTTTTTGTTAATACTTCATGTGGTCATTTAGAATTTTGTCTATCGGGGGCTTGCGTATTAGTCATTTGGTCTTCAAGCCTTTGTAGTGAAGCTGCTGGCAAAACAGAAGTACTCTCAACGTTGGTTGCAGACTAGCTCAGCTATGGAAGACTTGTAGACTTAATGTGGAATGTTGTTTATGTTGAAAATTTAAAATATGTCCATTCAATATCTATTTATGCATTTTTACTTCAGTCAGAACTTACATCAGTAAAGTATTACTGGCTTTGGGACACAACTTTACTAAAACACGATGATAATAGTCAGCCTTTTTTAAAAGAAGCTGCTTTTGTTCAGCTCAAGTTTCCTGGTATAGTATGAGATGAGAACTTACTGAATTGTAGGGAGAAGAAAAGCAGTTTTTCATCTGGTTTAGAATAGATAATTTCACTAGGATACTAGGGGTTTTATTAGGTTATTGTTGAGGCTGAGTCTATCCATCGGAATTTAACTGTGGCTTGCAGAGGAGGCTTGTTTGCCAGCAGCAGTGCCAGTGAAACTTAATGCATGTTGCCTGTTCTTTTAAGAAAACAGTTATTAGGTTCTGGTAAATTCTGGTGGTGAACAGGAAGACAGTATAAATAAAAATATGTACAGTAATTTTAGATTATTTGATTCTTCAAAATTAACCCGTACCTGTTACAACTTGAGACTCACTTTGCATAGTAAGAGGTCCTCAGATTAATTGCTAAAATGACACAACAATAACTGGAGATGCCAAAGCACAAATCTGTACTGAGAATGTTGACAAATGCAAGAACATGAGTAGGTTTTAAGGAGCTTAACTTCTTTGGCAAACACATGTTATTAAAACTGCATATGATGCATACGTTTGGCAAGTATGACAGCACGTCAAGTGAGAAAAATGCCTTTTGGGATGTGTGAGAAGAGAAACATTTAAGTAACTAATCTGTGTGGTTTCAAATTTAGACTTGGAAGTGGAGGATTTCTCCTTTACTGAAGTTATTTGGGTGACAATGAAAAGACAAATAGGTTGTTAGGTAAGGTCACAGACAAAACCCAAGCCTGAATTCAGAAAGGCACATGGACTGCAGCAATATGAGATGAAAATTACAGTACAGAGTAAGAGGAACTCTCTTGCTAAGAAATATTTTGAAAGAAGGAGATAAGCATTCAGCCATTATCTATATATAGTTTTCCTTATGGTCAGAAAGTGAGGCACGGTGCACTTCGTGATGCCAACAGAGGAAGCAGTTAATAAAATACAACCACTTCAATTGCATTTTCAAGTATACCTTGTCTAATTGTATTGTAACCATACAAACTAAAGCAGCAAATACAAATCACATTTTCCTTCTTTGAAGTACAGGAGAGGTATGATTGTTTGGTATTTATTTAGAATTCCCAGTCGGTATCATCTTGGTTTGCAGTAATATGTCCAAGTTCAGTCCCAGCTGCTGATGCGGGCACTGCCAAGAACTCTGATCTGTTATTTTGAATAGGAGGTGGTAATAGAGACAGTAGTGAATTCTGTGTTTGTTCTTTTATCTAGAAAGAAGAAAAGTTAAAACAGCGCTACACATAAAAGTCTACATAACCTTGCATCTGACTTCATTAAAAGCACGTGAAATCGGAGCCATGTTTTTGCATGTTACAATACTGAAAATACCAGGATGAGGGGTTTAGCTTTCCTCACTCTAGAGTAAGTTGAATTAGTCTTTCAAGACTAATTAGATTAGCTATGCAGTTCTTCTACTTTAAGAGTATTAACCATTATTCTTGTTACTTAGGCTGACTTTAGTTAAGCTAAACCAACTTTATCAAAGGGGAAATGGTTTACTCTTATGCTTCCTATACTCTTATCAATACCATTTTGTTAAAAAAAAAAAAAAAAAAAAAAGAGTATTCTGAAGCAGTTATGCTGTTGCAGGATGTTTTTCGGCTCCAGCTAACTTAATTATTTTGTAATCCAACTCTAATATTTTGTGGCTTGTTTAGGTTATAGCTGTGTCATTTAACAAAATGTAGTAATAAACTCACCTGTTTGAAGAACGTATGCGAAAGCAAACTGCTTGCTGATGGCCTGGATCATAAAATGAACAATATAATTATGTTTTGGAAAGTAAAATACTGCTTTTGGAAAATGGGCTAGACTGACAAATCAATTCAAGCCCTGTGGTTTTTCATCAACAAGACTGAGAAGCACAGAATTCCTACATTCTATGCCTCAACTTGTAGTGAGGGCACTACTAAAGAAATTTATTTTTAAAGGCTTTTTCAGCTTAAACAAGGAATTTAATGCCTCATTCAGAAGAGACGTAGTACTGAAAACATATATTTAAGATTTCTGGTTTTCTTGGACAAAGTGCATGTTTAAAAATTAATTTTACTTGTTACAAAGTACACTCATACTACAAGAAATCCAGAGGTCAAATGACTTTAAAAGCATGGTTCTTGTATCAGACAATATAATTCTTAAATTACATAATCAAAGGTAAGTGTAGTGTTTTGCACAGTACTTCTGGTCTGAAATTCTAACTGTATTCAACTAATTACTGTATCTTAAATTGTGGGCTACACTTGGTTTTTGATTGAAGTGACAGAAAATTAGTTTTCACCAGAAGGTTACCTTTTCTCAGGGTCCTGTTGCAAGCAAAGTTCTACCAAGTTGTGGAAAGCAGGTGAAAACGTTTTGGAAAAGGGAATTTGCAGTCTTTCACTGGTCATTGTTTGTGTCATGCTCTCACCAATTCCAGAATCAACACCTGACTGCGAATTCTTCATCCTGGATTCCCCACGGGGAAAGGTATTTATATACCAAGGACAATATGTGCGACCTTTCAGCTTTTGCAGCAGCATCTAGTAGAAAGGAATAGCAGTATAAGAGTTCAACAGCTATCCAGACCTATTCAGGCTAAGCTGTGAAACTCCAGGAATGGAAGGATTATTTCATCTAGAAAGAAGCATGCGTACTTGAAATAACAAAAAGCAGACACCATTTCAGCAGTAATAGCATTGGTTTCTCCAAGTAAAACAAAAAAGCTCAAAGTGTTTTGAAGTAGAAATAGAGTTTAGCATCATACCTGAGTGGGACGCATATCTTGAAATGGAACATGTCCACTGGCTAATTCACACGCTGTAATTCCCACACTGTAAATGTCAGACTTCATGTTATACCCAGACAAATCCTGTGAGAGAAAGAAAACTCTACTGATCACTGATGCCCTTGAGCAGTGACGACAAAAACACAAGTGTGTGTTTCACAACAAGATTCTAACACCCTGTACTCTACATGGGATTGAGTCAATTAAAGTGTGAAATCTCAGGCTTTGTTCAGAAATCTGATGATTGTACTGAAGACAAGTTTTAGGATCTGCAGTAGTTTCCAGGATCGGTTCTCCTTAGGAGAATTACAAATTCAGTACATCTGTCTTTTTAGAAGCTGCAGTTCAACAGCTTCCACTGCACTTCTACAAGCAGACTTAATAGTTGAGTACTTCCAGTAACTTTGAATAGGAAAAATGAAGTATGATTTATACTAACCTGTCTCAGTAGTTCAGGACTCAGCCAAGGAAGCACAGAGGTACTAAACTCTGGGAAATCATATACCACCTTTGACTTTTGTCCATTCTTAACTAAACTGTAGAGGTGGTTTAAGCCAGACAGAGAAACCAGCCCATCCCCTGAAATCAGAATGTGGCTAGCTTTAATATTCCTGTAACATAAAGTGGTAAGTTTTAGTTACAAGAATTACTCTAAGCACTACTAGAGTAGAAAGGTTTTTGTATTTCATTAAATTATAATGAGATGTTAGTGTGCAGTTCTATCTAGCAGATTATTTTCATGGAAGTTCTTCACTCAGTATAAGTCATCTTTTTAATACAGCCCCAAGAGAGAGATCAGCAAGAAAAAACTGCCAGAAACTGGAGAAGGGCCCTCCTTCCCTGCAAAGGGTGTAAAGTAAGGAAGCCCTTTCTACAACTGATTCTCTTCTGCTTCAAAGAGACAAAGCCAGACAGATGTCTAATCCCTGTAACAACTGGCTTTAAATAATGTATGAATATTGTTCTTGTTAAGCTTCTACAAACTTGGTTCTGCTGTATTACTGAAAAAATTTGCTTCTGCACTGTCTGATGGAAGAAGGTATATGGAAAAAGGAGACAACACTTAAGCTGGAAATGAGTTTTGAAGTGAAATGACATTCTCCTACCTGTGAATGTAGCCATTCTGGTGCATGTAATTTAATCCTCTGATTGCACCAAACAGAATGTTCCCTATCAAAGCTTCACTCATTCCTTCAGGAAAGTAAGTCTTCAGCAGGTGTCTAGCCGAACCTGGAAGTGAAAAAAAAACTAGCTAAGCCTAACAAGTATTGTTAAAATACTTGTCTATGCTTGCTTCACTGTATACATTCATCAAGAATGGCATTCTGATCTTCATATTGAATATGGTACATCAAGAACACTTACATGGATGCAACTGATGCATCCATCAGATCACACTCAAGTCATGCTCCTGTTAACTAAAAGTCTATGCCAAACCTGTATTCAATCCAGACAAGTTTTCTGCTGGCAAAATTCAAAGTTGTATAAGGTCAAATTCATCTCCTAATTGCCATTCCTCACATGGTGGGTGTTAGGACTAAGTGCAGTTTAATGCAGTTCAAATACCAGTCTTCACTGGGGAGGAAGACTGTGTACAGAAGACTTCTCTAACCAAATGGTTTGGGAAAGTTTGTTTTTTCCACAAGACAGGAGATGCTTAAAGAAAAACCTCTCATGGACCACATGGTCCAAACGGTATCAGCCCTTTTTCCTATTCCAGAACTGCAGTTAACAGTCCTTACCATAGGCCATGAACGGGGAGATGACCCAAAGCCAACTACCAGCTGTAAACACTGTCCAAAGCGTCATTACGTTGGGATGCTGGAAAAAGTGGGATAAAACCACCTCATTCTATGGAATTAAATGAAAGTGGATGTGTTAATCACAAGACAACAGTCTTACTAAGAGCATTAACTACATCAGTAATCAGTAGAAAGAACTGTTCCCTGTGTGCATTTATATGAAGTTGCACTTGATGCAACAGAAATGTGAATAATTTGCCTGTAATTGCATTTGTCTGAAGTAAATCTAGTTTGCTCATAGTCCGAAGTTTGGTGTTAGAGAGTACAGAACCTGTTTCAAAGAAAAAATTGTACAGAAGTATTTCTAAAACACTTGTCAACTATTTTCTTCAGAAAGCAACTCTCAAATTTACATCTACTCTTTTGGGCAAAAAACTTGACTGAAATGACCCAGTGCAAACACAAAGCCTACCTCTGTTTAGTAACTTCATATGTATTCATCACTATCTTCATTAGAGTTGTGCAGAAATGCTGTTGCTTTACCTGTAAGGCTTTCAAATGCTCTTCAGAGCAATTTTCTAGGTCTGTGATCCTTACAGCTACTTGTGTGCCTGTAGGAGTATGCCGTGCAAGGTACACTGAAGTTAAGTTGTTGAACCTCCTTCCTGAAAACAGAAGTGGCTACCTTAACATTGAAAAATGTAATAATCCACCACATAATTTCCTTCATATTTAGAGATAATTTTCCAGTTTAAAATTGCAGTTCATTGCAGCATGGCCTTTTCTTTAAGAGTGTCAAGAACTTAAGTAGTTGTAGCAAAAAATATGCAGCTAATTAGTTAAAGCATGGCTCTGCTATTTTTAGAACAACTGGAAGTGTTTAAACATTGGTCAGTATCAATTATACATCTAAATGAACAACACTTTTAACATGCATATTCACATAAACATATGCATGCACAGTGTTCAATGCAGCCGTCCTTCGGACAATCGACTCAGGTAACCAAGTGACATGACATGATGTTAATTAATACTGTTATTTATTGTCCACATACCACAGGTTTAGAAAACTGATATGCACATGCACAAATATCAAGAGAAAAATTCAGGTAAATGTTGATTTGTCTTGTATCTTAAAACAAGTGATTACTCAAACATGAGCAATGTTCTGCACTTTGCTCAACTAAGGAGACACGAAAATAGTTCTAGTCAGCTGATAATACATTTTCCAAACTTAGTATTTACTGCAGTTAGCAATAACCTATTGAGAGTATGCATCTGCAGGAACAAGAAATATTTTAAGGTACACTTATGTTACCTATTTCCAGCTGGAGTTGATAGTGAGAGACATTAGAAGAGCAAAATACCATTTCATTTCTTCCTGTAGATGGGGAAGTCCAGGCTAGATCAGAATCAGCCTAACGGTGAGGAAAAGCAGTTCTCAAAATTACTATGTAATTTCTAAACATTTACATGTTAAAATTAATGCAGAAATATCATTAATTAGAATGCTAATATCAAGTACTCAAGCCAGAACATTCAAGGTGGTGCTTTTACCATTACGCTGAGACTTAGTTTTATGAACTACTGGGGGGTTTTTTGTGTATTTTTGTTTTGTTTTTAAATTGGTACAAGATTAAGAGTAACACTTAATTACCTATAGTCTTCTTCTAAAGTGGAAGACCTGAAATACTCTGGTTATTTTTGCTGTTAACATTTTAAGAAGTACACCCTAATGAGATTATTTTTAATATGTACCAGCTTCCTATTTAATGTTGCCAGTTAATGTTTCTATTTTCTTCTTACCAGGCATTCATGCACGCTGCTCTCAGATAGCTCTTGTGATCTGATTGATTCAACTGGTGTATGCAGAATACAGGAACAGTCCTTAAAAAAAGTGAATGTTAGTGCAGTTCCTGCAATTTATTAAATACGGCAGTGGGAAAACATTAAAAGTAGCCCCTATAAGCAGGAGTTCAGCAAGTTTTCTGCTACAAGTCAGTCAGGCAAGAGGTTAAGAAACAGCATAGAGTGCATAGGCAGCAGATCTAGGGAGAAGAGATACTAAACAGTCTCCATCACCAAAAGTTGATACAACAAAGTTTAAACATCTCATGACTGTGCAAATCCCCTCAAGCAAGACCTTTCATCAGAACTTTTTCACATTAAGGTACGACTGGGTAACAAGGTACAACTGCCAAAGATTTTTAAATACAAACTTACCAAACAAGACATGGAACCACTTTACATCAGGGGAAAAGTCATATACACCCATTTATCCTAGAAAAATGAAAGTAGCAATGTAAGATTGTAAATAAACAAAACAATAAAAATAAACACGTGAGAGACAAAATTCTATTTTAAGGGATTAGAGTAAAAATAAAAAGAGGGGAACAAACTCAGATAATAAAGTAAACTTAGGATACAGAATCAGCATTCAAACTCCTTCACAGATCAGGGCAGCCACTCAAAGTCCTTCAGCAGACTTATTATGTCTGATGCTTTGAAAGCTTTCGCAGTAAGGAGAGATGACTATGTCTAACAAGAATATCAAAGCTTCTGAAGCGTAGAGTGGAACAAGCGAGTCTACTTTAGCTACAAGCAAGTCTTCTACCATGATGAATCTTACTTGGCGGCTGACATAAATCAGCTACAGGAGGTAGTTCCACATTAATATGGAATTATTGCTTGAAAGTTAACTTTAAAAAGGTGAAACACTAGATCAGAAACTGATCATTTTGCTTATCAAGGAGCTAAGCTTGATTATATTCCACATTTTAATCAAGGCAACATGCTTGAAGAGCTGACAAATTCCCACCACACTATCCACTGCAAAATATCCAAGGCACTCTTAATCCTTAATATTTTTACCCTGAAAATCTGCCTGAAGTAAAGAAATACTGCAATTCCTTATTAAAGATTAAAAATTGAGACAAAATTAAATCCTTAGGATGTATTGGGCACCTTCAGAGGATCAGGGCTTGACTTACCCAGCTTCACTGAGGAACCCTGTGGCAGAGTAAGGAGAAAATGCAGGAGCTTCAAGATACTGGCCAGCACTGTGATGGCCACAGCATCCTTATCCTACCTGGAAAGGAGATGCCTCATTTCATTATACAAGGTAATTCATTCTGTTGCTTGGAATATGAAGCCGCAAAAGCTAAGCTGAATAGTCTTAATAACTACAATGCACTAAAGTAAAGTAATTGTAGAATTTGTTCAAAGGGGTATAGCCAGCCAACAGAAACGTCCATGATCCACAGTTGTCCAAATAACACTACAAATGCGAGATTTTAAATTTTGTTTTTGTTATGTAGTTTCACATTGTTTCCATTTTCAATACAGTTTTGGATGTCCCAACATAAACCTTTTCCCTGTTTCCACATTTTTCTTTGTGTATCGCAGGCTTTTTCTTGTACCGCGGGCAGTGCCAGTATCGCACAGCTGAACTGACAGGCGGATGCCAGCCTGGCCAAAGCTTCAGATGCAGCTAGTAATGCAGGGGAGAATCAGCGAAACGCGCCTGTGAGCGCGGAGGCTCTGGAGCGCACAGCCCGGTACCGCGAACGCACGTTACTCCGGTTCTGTTGACGCTGGGCGGCAGCCCCCACTGTTCGCACTGCGCTGCTCGGCGTGACCGAGGCGGCTCCCAATCGTGTCTCGAGTTCGGCGATCCGTCCGCCATGGAAGTAACGGAAC